CTCCAGGACCTTTCAAAGATGATGGAGAGCAGCCCAGCAATGACTTACCCCAGCTCCCTCAGCACTCGCGGGTACATCCCATCAGGCCTCATGGGCTTGTGGATATCCAGTTTACTTAATTGTTCTCTAAGTTGTTCTTCTTCAACCAAGGGAAAGTCTTCCTTCCTCCAGACTTTCTGTTACCTGCAAAGTCTGGGATTCCCGAGGGCTGGCCCGAGCAGTGAAGACAGAAGCAAAGAAGGCATTCAGCAACTCCACCTTCTCTGCATCATCTGTCACCACAGCACCTGTCACATTCAATAGTGGGCCCACATTTTCCCTAGTATTTATTTTGCTTCCTTTGTACTTAAAGAAACCCTTCCTATTGACCTTGACATCCCTCACCACGTTCAATTGCAAGGCTGCCTTGGCTTTCTTTGTTCACTCCTGCATACTCTGACAGCATTCTTGTGCTCTTCCCAAGTGGTCAGACCTTTCTTCGACATACAGTAAGCTTCCTTCTTCCACCTGAGCTTTTTCAGAGGCTCCCTGCTCAGCCATGCAGGTCTCCTCCTTCTCTTGCCTGATTTCTTGCTCTTAGGAATGCACCAATCCTGAGCTTGGAGGAAGTGATGCTTAAATATCAACCAGCTCCCTTGAGCCACCCTACCCTCTAGAGCACTTACCCATGGGATTTCTCCAAGCAGTTTCTTGAAGAAATCAAAGTTAGCCCTCCTGAAGCTTAAGGTTTCAATCCCATTTCTTGTTTTATGCATACTGCACTTAATCCTGAACTCTATCTTCTCATGATCACTGCAGCCAAGTCTACCCCCAACCTTAACATCCTCCACCAGTCCTAGAAGGCCTCACCACCTTCCCCATCCTGACCAGGTGGCCAGTAATAGACACCCACAACAGTGTCTCTCATATTACCCTGACGCTTGATCCTTAGCCACAAGCTCTCAGCTCGCTCTTCATCCTCCCCCAGGGAGAGCTCGATACATTCCAGTTGCTCTCTCACATAACGAGCAACTCCACCACCTCGCTTTGTTTGCCTGTCTTTCCTAAAAAGAACATAGCCATCCATGAGGGCATTCCAGTCATGTGAACCACAACAGTGTCTCTCATATTACCCTGACGCTTGATCCTTAGCCACAAGCTCTCAGCTCGCTCTTCATCCTCCCCCAGGGAGAGCTCGATACATTCCAGTTGCTCTCTCACATAACGAGCAACTCCACCACCTCGCTTTGTTTGCCTGTCTTTCCTAAAAAGAACATAGCCATCCATGAGGGCATTCCAGTCATGTGAACGATCCCACCGTGTCTCAGTAATTGCAATGAGATCATGGCCCTGTGACCGCACACAGATATCTAATTCTTCTTGTTTGCCGCGTGCATTAGTATACAAGCATTTCAGAGACAGCAATGAGCGTATAGGTTTTGGCCTAGAGGGATGATAGGCCTTCCGATTCTCAAAAATACTAGCACTCTGCCCCACAAGTGCTGAGCTACTACAGCTGGGCACCTCCATAGCAAGCCCAAGATGTGCGTTGAGGGACATCACCCTCCACTGATTCCCACCACGCACCCCATCCAAACTCATGTGAGAGCTGCCCAGCACAGCCCTGGGGGTTGCAAAGGCTGTCCAGCACCATGCGGGGACGCGGGTAGCAGCGTCCCTGCTCATGGCCTGCCCTCAGCAAGGTGCAGTTAGCTCCCTGCAGGGGGATGTGACCCCACAAGGGCAAGGAGGGGGCCAGGTAGGAGCTGTAGAGGAGCAGGCAGCCACAAGCCTTTATTAGTTGTCCATACAGAGCACGCAGAGTCACGATGGCAGCCCAGCAGGCCAAGCTCCAGCGGAGCCCTGGGTTTGGCTGAATATTAGCTGAGAGAGGAGGGAGAGGATCTGGCAACCCAGGACATGGCAGGAACGTGACCCACCCCTCAGACTGAGCTCATGTGAGTCAGAGGCTGGGAAATGTGGCGTACAGTTCCTGCTTCCAGGAAAGCAAAAATCAAAGCAAAGCCTAAAAAAAGGAACTACAGAAAGTCACATTCAAAGGCTTTAAAGCAGTAACCAGTGAAAGCTGGGAGGTGAAGGGGATGAGGAAATAAAATGCTCAAAACCCTCCTTGGCCTCCTGTTTTCCTCTTGCTCTGCTGAATTGGATGGGACCCCCAGTGCTGGTCACAGTCACAAGAAAGCCAGGGGCCCTGGCAGCCATCAGCACTGAGCTGGGGTCATCCTCCCCATCATCTCCACTCCCTCTGAATGTCTCCTGTGGTCCTGGGCAAGGGCTGGAGGGACTGATCTTCAGCATGGCTACCTTTACCTGTGGAGATCAAGGGCACCCAGTGCAGAGGCTCCTGCGTGCCCTGTGCTGTGTGGGGAGCTCATGCCACCACAGCTGCCTGCACACAAGAGTGTCTGAGACAGGTTGGAGCACAGGCCACTGCCTGGAACCACCTGACCCCTTTGTCCCAAGCACAGCGGTGCCCACTGGTGCCCAGGCAAGAGCAGCAGTGCCTCAGCCTGACCCTCCTGAGACCCTTCCAGCAGATCTCTCCCTTTTGGGGGAATGACATGGCCATGGGTCCCTGAGAGGACCAAGCCATGAGCCACCCTTTGGGATGCCTGTCTTTGCTCGCCCCTGCTCCAGGCTGGGACCGCTGCCTGGAGCCATATTCTGCTGCCATGTGGGGCTTAGCGGGCAGAGCCATCCTGACCATCCCCAGCACCACAGGGCTGGGGCAAATGGGGAGACGTGTCAGTGAAGAGGTTGAGCAGATGTTTCTCCTGAGGGTCAAGCTCTGCTGGCAGATCTTTGCTCTCATCCCAGCTGTCAGCTGGCTTAACATCTCTTTCTGTGATGGTGGTCCAGGGAAATACCTTTTTTTCCCTACCTTTTTAATTATCCTCCTTAGCTTTGCTGGGAAAAGACTTCCTTTTCCTGGAAAGGCAAAGGAGAGTCCTCAGTAAGACTGGCATTGCCCATGGCCGTGCTGAACCTGTTGCCTTCCTACTCACCTGGAAAGCACAAACCATAGGATCCCTGCAGACACGAGAAGGAGTGCCAACAGCACAACCACCCCAATCACAGTCCCACGCCATGGGCCCGGATGCTGCCCTGCAACTAACACACAGCCAGGAGTGGGTGCCACAGCCTGGGCCACATGCTGGCAATGGCCCCACCGATGGCAAAGGGTATGTGCAAGTGTGGAGATGCGTGTCTTAGCTTAGGTTTCTTCTGGGTTGGAGGATCACCCCATGTATGAGGAAAAAAAAGGCTTCCTCTGCCCTCCATGAGATCCCACAGGTCCTGTGCTCAGCCAGCTCCTGTCCACGGGAAGCGGCCAGGCTGGGAAAAGGGAACACACAGGAGAAACCCTCAGGTACAGGGAGAAAGGAGATCACTTACCAAGAGAGAAGCTGTAGCAGATGCAGGTGAACTTCTCTGCCTGTTGGAGGAGATGGGAGGGAGAGCTCAGGTCACTCCTGCCCTACTGCCTGTCCCGCGGGCAAAGGCCTCCTACCCATGGCCACCAAATGCCCAGCTGTGGCCAAGGACCCCGGGGACACTGTCCTGCCACCGCACCCGGGCTCTGACCGCAGGGGCCGGGAGCGAAGCCCATGCAGCATTGCCGCTTGCCACGGGTGGCTGGCCCAGACCCCACCAGGGGTCCCGTCCCTGGCTGGCAGTGTCCCCGGGGAGAAGAACCCCCATGACAGGTACCTGCTGCGAGTGGCGGATGAGGCGGAGAAGGGCCATGTAGTCCCAGCCCGGCCGGAGGGCAGCGTTGTGGTAGCCCTGTCCGCGGGTCCCATCACCCAGCACAAAGTCCGTGGGGCCGGTGAGGTTGAGCACGGCAGCCACGTAGGTACTGGGCTGCCGGCTGGCGTTGAAGGGCTGCGGCTCCCCCGAGCAGGCGCCTTCCACCACCGTGCCGTTGTGGGCCACGGCCACGATGAGCTGGTGCTCCCTGCAAGGCAGGGCGGTGAGAGGGCCGGGGCAGACGGGGACGGGGGGAGAGGGACAGAGGGTGTGCGGGCACACGCTGCCGGTGGGGAAAGCCATGTCAGGGCTGAGGAGAGCAGAGCTGCTGGGGGCTACACTCACCTCACGGCCTCGGGGGGACGGGCGATGGGGTGGAGGGGAAGCACAGCAGTCCCTTGGGATGGGGAGACGTCATGGACGCTGCGGCAGCCAATGTTGAGAGGGTGTGAGGTGTCTGGAGAGGAAGATCCAGAGAGATTCCAGAGGGGAAGAGGGCTGAGCACCAAGCAGACAGCATGGCAGGGGCCGGGCAGGAGCAGGGTCAGCCCCGGGCAGTGCAGGCTGCAGAGCACCGCTCCTCTGTGCCCAGGCTCCTCCACGCTGGCCAGGAGGCCACAGAGACAGGGACAGGAGCTGCCTCAGCCAGGCCACACACCGTGGCCACCCTGGAGGGACCGGGACATGGCAAACCTTACCTGACCCGTTGGTCTGAAACTCCCACAGCGACGCAGCCCCGGCTCCGGCGGCTGTGAGACCCTGAATCGTCACCACGTAGCTGCTGCCAGGGCTGTGCTGGGTCAGTGGGTGCTCAGTGACGGAGCTGCTCAGCCCCAGCCTCTCCACCTCCAGGAAGCCACTGTCCTGCGTGCTCCTCGTGGTGATGTTCAGCTGGGGAGAGGAGACAGAGCTGGAGGGCAGCAGCTCCCACCTGCCCTCTGGGAACTGCCCGCAGCGCACCGAGACAGAGCCAAGCACCCCAGCGAGCCTCCTCTTCCCCATGACTGCTCCAGTTGTGGAAAGCTCCCAGAGAGGAACTGGCAGGAGCGTTGGCCCCATGCGTGGACCTCCAAGCAGATAGGAGGAGTAATCTGTAACCAATGCTCAAGACGTCAGAGTGGCTGCCTCTGCGAGCAAAGGACCAAGCATCTGTGAAGAGCTGAGGGCAAGAGGGAGGCTGTTCCTTTGCAGACGTGTATGTACATGTAACGAGCTCGAGGCCAGGTCACTGGCATGGTATTGCAACATTGCAGGCACTGTGGTGACATCCCCCACCAGAGGAGCCCTGAACTGCTCTTTCCTCCTGTGCAAGGTTGGACTTGCACATCTTCTGAATTTCTCCTGAGATCAGGGGCCATCCTTGCTGCTCTCAGGGTCTTTATGGTCTTTATATGCAAAATGTTGATAATATGCAAAAAAGGAGCCAACTAAAACCAGAAAAAAAGGGTTCTCTTCACAAACAGACGAGTCTGGAAGCAGGGAAGCAGCTCAAACAGACCCACAAGCAATGCCACCAGGGCCCCTGTTTCCCAGTTCGTCCAGGAAAGAGATAGGAGGGGCTTGAAAAAACAGCATGATTCCTGTCACCCCACAGAGATATCTGCCCTCAGAGAGGACATGGGGCACACTGATAAGGGTATCACCCTGCCTCAGTGCCAGAAAGCAGGGCTGCGCTGTGGGAAGAGCCCCAAATCCACAGACAGAGAAGATGCTTCTGCCTGTGCACTGAGGAAAACTCAAATGAACGGTGCAACTCTCCAAGAAGAAGAGTGGTTTTCAGAAGAGAACTCAAACCACAGGGTTCTCTGTGGCAGGAACCAGAAACAAGTACGCAAGAGGCACAGGAAACCCTGGGAGGCCACCCCACCAGACACGTCACCAAAAGCTGCACACAAAGCCACAAAATCTGCCAAACCCCAGGCTGAGCAGACCCAGGGAGGAAGCCCAGAGGGGAGAGAGCACCCACCACCACAACTCCACAGCACAAGGAATGTTGAGGGTGAGACAGAAAATGGTCATGCTCATCACAGCCAGATATTCACCTGGACTGGCTAGGAACTGTGGGTCATCATGGCTTTCCCTTCCCCACTCTCCTCTCCTGCCTGCACAGAGCTCCAGGCAGGAAGCACCTGGCAAGGTGAGGGGGACCGTGGGGAGTCCGTGGTCCCCTGGTACCTGGTATCCAATGATCTCTCCTTGGCAGGAGGGCAGTGGAGTCCACATGAGGGACCCTGTGTTGGAATCCAGCCACAGCTTCTCTGGTTTGTCCGGCACTGGAAGCACAGGAGGATGGGGTCACGCATGGGGCCAGCGAGGAGGCCAGAGCAGGGTGCAGGCAAGGTGCAGGCAGCTCCTGGCCCAGGGGACAGACTGCAAAGGGACCCCTCAAGCAGGGTTTGTCCCCCCCAAAGGCTGCATGTGCCACAGCAGCAGCAATGGTGTGATGAGGAGGTGGAGAGTGAGGAGGGGACAGTACCCCACAGGATCTTAGCAGCCCCGATCCTGGGACCATGTCTGCAGGGAGCAGATGATCAGGCTGAACTGCTCGGTAAAGGTAACATTTATCCACCTTCCCTACCTGTGATATAGCCCAGGACTGACCCTTCTCTCCTATACTTGTGAGCACATACCTGTTTCCTCTGTCCTGACCAACCATGCAAAAAGGATCGTGCTGGGGGGCAGGGAGACGGTGACACTGTATTCAGTGAAGGGCTGCAGAGGGGAACAGGTGAATGTTCCCCCCTGGCCGTGTAGCATCTCCTCTCCCTTCACCTCCTCAGCCTCACAGGGAGGGGAGGAAGGCATGGCCAGACGGCACGTGGCCTGCATCTGCTGGCAGACATTGAGTAGCGTGCAGGTCCAGTTCAGCTTGATGCTGGTGCTGGAAATCTCCAAAGTCCCGGGAACAACCTGGAGGACCTCTGTGAAGAAAACATTGCAAGAGTTACTTCCTTCCCTTCTCCTCCCAGTCTTGCAAGGATGCTGCAGTCAGACAGTCCTGCTCCCCAGCGAGCTGGGAGAGAGGGTAAGTGAGAGGCTGAAATTGGTCACTCCAGCTTTCTGGTACGAGAGCACGAGGAGTCTGGACAGGAATGAATGTGGGTAAATGTTTGGACTCCCATTGCTCAAGCCAATATTTCCCACTGAGTCAAGACTGAGGTATCTGTGCGTTCCAGCATTTCTACAATCCCACAGATGCAGCTCTTAGAAAAACCTAGCCCTTTCCTGCTCTGCATAGACCCCAGGAGAAAAGTTCATTTTCCATGCCTCTGTAGTGAGACATGGAGCTCTAGAACACCATACTGAGTAGTCCTCCTACAACACATTCCCAGGAAGGGGGTGACAGGAAAAAGAGCCCTGTGCTGCTTCCTGCAGGCCTCCCAGGAAAAGCCAGGAGGAGCAGGAGCTTGAGGGACTGGGGCACCCACAAGGTGTTCATACCATACGCAAAGCTTGCACAGTGACTGATGGGCCAGCATTTGGTCCTGGTCCCTTATGGCATCATCTAAGAAACCAGGTCTATTTCATGCCTTATGAACCTGCCATATGAAGTCAGCAAAGCACCCAAGGGGACCAGGCAGGACACGCTGAGACCTTGGGAGCTGCAGCTATGGAGAGCTGTCACAGGAGAAGCATCCCCTTCCCGCTCCCACAGACCTCCCCACACTACCCATGCTCACAGCTAGCTGCAGGAAACCAGCTCTGAGACCTCTTGCTGGGGCCCAGGTCCCAGGACACTCAGTGAGCTGGGGAGCAGCTGAGGACTATTGTTTTCAAAACTTCAGATACCTCCCACCAGGTTCCCAAATCAGCCCAATATTGCCCCATTCTCCCTTGGAGGCGACCTCGGTTCCCCCCACTATGCAAAGATGGTGCCAAGCCTGTACCCACCATAACACAGAGCCTGGAGGGGACCAGCCTAAGGGGAGCAAGCTGTGGTACAGTCTGAGAGGATATAGGCAGCAGAGCCTTCTGATTTCCCTCCCCCAATCATGATGCCATGCAGACCAGAAACTCCATCACAGATAGCTCTCCCATGCTTCTTTCCCTTGTGCACATGCTCTTGCCAGAAGGACTCAGAGAGACCTACATGGTCCAGACCTCCAGCAAGAGTGTCACCCACTGGCGAACCCCAGGCTGGGTGCAGGGCAGGCTCGGGGCTGCCCCGACAGTGCCTTCAGCAGCACCTACCAGCCGAGGAGCCCAACCCCCCTGTGTACACATGGCCTGCCTTCCCCTGCTCAGGAAGGGCAGAGCGGGGCAGCCAGGAGACCTCCTGATGCCTCCCTTACCAATGCACTCCACATTGGACCGGATGCGGATCCAACTACCTCTGCTGTCCCTTCCACGCCAAACTTCTCTGTATACAGGTTTCCCAAGGCTGATTGACTGGACTTCACTTGAACATTTGACCTGGGTGAAGGATGGCTGGAAACCCTCAGGGCAGCTCAGCACCACTTCTTCATTCTTCTTGTAACTCTCCTGGTCTGGTGCCATCTGGAGTCTTGGGTCCCATAGAGGCCTTTGGCACATTTCTGGCAGAGATGAAAGTGGATGTTAGTTAGGTTAGAAGGTGATGAGGTGGGGCATGTGTAGGTGGTGGGAGAGAAATCCCCATCAATGCATCCAGCCCCTGAATGGAGAGGGAAGGTGACATGTCCATCTGCCAGGATGTGACCCGCAGGCATGGCTTGTTGGGAGCAGGCTTTTCTTTGTGTGCCCAAAGTGTGAAGGATTACTCTTCTATGAACCTCTCTCATCCACCCTTGTGTCCAGGGATGCTATATTCCTTTCACAGCCCACAGCAGGGACATTCCCAGGACAATCACCCTGGCTCTAGGAGACCACCTCTGCCACTCATTCAGACATGTTGCCCACCCCAGGTCAGGCTGCCCTTGATGGGCACTGACACCACCAGCCTTGATGGGATGCCCGTCTCTCCAGCCATAGCTCATCCCTCCCACAAGGATCAGGGGTGCCCCTGTTACACTTCTGGGGTCCCTGTGCTGGCTCAGTCAGTCCCATGGCTTCTCTCCTCCTGCCCCATGCCACTGTCCAGCGGGACATGGGGATGAGCAATGCCTTCTCCATTCACATCTGCTTTGGCACAGCCCCTGCCCCTTTCCCCTGCCACAAACCCTGCTCCCTCCTCCACATCCCCTCCTCACTGCATTCACTATCCTCTGGGATAAGAAGGCACAGCCTGTCCCAGCAGTTTGCTGAGTCCTGTGGAGGGAGGCTTTGTGGCAATGATTCCTACAGGCAAGGATGCTGGCACCTGGGAAGGAGCACTTCCCTGCTCCAGCCTCTGCAAGGGGCTCTGGAAGACTTCAAAGTGTTTAAAAGATGATCTACCTTCTCCTAAAGGGGCAGAGAAGGGATCTAACAAGGTTCAGACCATTTCACACTTGTTCCCAAGCATGTTCTCGCAATTGTTCCCAAGTAACAAGCAATAGGACAAGAGGAAATGGCCTCAAGTTGCACCAGGGGAGGTTTAGGATGGGTATTAAGAAAAATTTGTTCACTGAAAGGGTTATCAAGCATTGGAACAGGCTGCCCAGGGAAGCAGTAGAATCACCATCCCTGGAGGTGTTTAAAAGACAGGTAGACATGATACTTAGGGACATGGTTTGGTGGTGGTTTTAGCAGTGTTAGGTTGGTGGTGGGACTCAATGATCTTAAAGGTCCCTTCCAACCTAGACGATTCTGTGATTCTGTGATTCCTGAACAACCACGAAGAAGTACAGACATGCTGGTGAACAAGCCACTTACGGTCAGGACTTGCTCTCAAACAGCCCTGATTGCAGAAGGCAAGAGATGCCCAGCTGAGCACCGCAGCCAGCAGCTGCGTCCCACTGACACGCAGCTGTGACCTACTCCACCTACAGGCATCCAGCCGCTCCCCACGGCCAGGCCCATCCAGCTGGCAAAGCAGCAGCGAGGTCCCTTTTGCTCTGCTCTCAGCAGCCACAATGTCCCTCAGGCACATCTGGGGACAGAAAGTGGCAGCCCTGCTCCCTGAAGACCCTTCCCCTGATTGATGATGTATGAATTCATGCCTGCAGCTTCCAGGGAACGACTGGCAAACTGGCTGGGTGCAGGGTATGACCCATCCCCAATCATCCAGCCCAATCCCGTTGTTCCCACAGCACTCCCAGTGCACCCACATAATAGTTCCTGCCCCTGGGATCTCCCAGAGGCAGCACATGCCCCAGCTGACACAGCCTCAGGAGTCTGCTGGGCTCCAGCCCAGGGCTGTAGACAGTAAAGATGCCCATCAAACTTGCAGGGGGAGGGGTAGCAAAATCTTCTACTGAGGGGAGAGGTGGCACTGATTCTTACCTGTTTCCCAGAGCACTCCTTGGACCTTGGGATCAGGTTCTTCCTGGCCCTGCGCGGCCAGCAGAGATACAAAGACCAGGAGAAACCTCAAAGCCAGCAACTGCAGGGCCATGCTACCATGAAGTCCCCAGGCAGGACTGAAATCTCAGCCCCTCTTGCTGCCTCCGAGCCCAACCATCCGTCACTGACTTCAAGACTTGCAACTGCAGGAAATGTTGTGAAACACAGGAGACTTCCTCTTTGGGGAGGGAGCCTCCCACCAGTATCAGTGCTGCTGCCTTTTGCTGCCTTTTTTCCCCAGGGGCATCCAGGCTCTGGTACTCAACAGAAGAACCCCTGTCACCAACATCCTGGGGTTTCCCTCTAAACCCCTTCCAGTTACCTGAGTGCATTCAGGAAGCACTGCTCCTATTTCTGAGGCAATATCCATGCGCTTCACAACGCCACTGCACGGGTTTTAGAGTTTTGATGAGTCACAGCACTTCCTGTCAATGATCACAGGAGATGGAGGACATCTGAGAAAGCACATAAAGAGCTGGCAAGAAACAGGGGTAGGACAAGGACATGAACGGCAAAGAGTACCTCAAGGCCTGAAACAGTCCTTGGCCCTTCTGAAAGACTCAAATGTCTGTCTGAAAGACACTTAGCCCACACCCTCCCTCATCCTTCTCTGCTCCTCCATCCCCAGCTGCGTCCTCCTCCTCCCCCTCAGCCTGGCTACAGTTTCCTCTGTCCCCAGGTGTGTAGACCACCCTGTCCTCCAATGGCAGCTGAGAGCCTGAGGAAGCCCTCAGAGTTACTAAACCATCCCCCTTGCTCCTCAGCAGATCCTGTTTTTCTTTTCCTCCAGCAACTCTCGTGGACCCACCTGGAACGTCTCAGATCCCAGAGGGCTGGGTTATCAGGCACGGGAGCTGCAGAGGAGCAAAGACCGTGCTTGTCCCTCAGCTTTGCTGACAGCACATGCACAGGACACACTCCTGCCCAGGATGAATGAGGGGGAGCATCACCACTCACCAGTTCCCTCTACACACCCTATCCAAACACACGTCACAGCTGCCCAGCTCAGCGTAAGAGCACAAACCAAACCTCCATTTCCCCATATCCCAACCTTGCTCATTCCCCTTTCTCAACCAGCAGCATCCACACGGGGTTAAGCTCCCTCTTCCCCTCACTGCCCAATACCCATAGAGAGCAGCTCCATCAGGTACACAGGTCACACCAATGAAAGTCCTTGCAAAGCAGATGCTTTGGTACCAGGGGCCAGTTGCAGATACTGCAATGATGGTTAGACAGCTCATATGAAGGACTATCAAACCTAGCACATGCAGGTCATCAAGGGCTAAAAAAAAAGGCTGGAAAGAGAGTGGTCAATTCCCCCATCTTCCAGCAATGTGCTCCTGGCCAAGGAGAGCCTTCAGGCTGTCCCTCAGCATCCAGGCTGCACCAGCCACCAGCATTCCAGAGTGCAGGAGACGCAGTGGCTGCTGGAAACAGTGCCAGGGCAGCAGCAGCATCTGAGATCCAGAAGATTGCAAAGGACGCAGGATGCAGATTTCCAAAGAGGGCCAGGGCCGACTGCACCTCACAACATGGGAGGTGAGCACTAGGACCCACAGAGTGGGATCACAGGCCAACAGAGGTCCAGCTCAGCCTAGTGGAGACCATGCTACCTGTAGGATGGGGGGGAGGGAAAGTAGGAACCCAAAACATTGAGCTGGGAGCACGCAGCTTCTCACATGTGCTTCCTCAGGGCTGCCGGGGACAGGAGAAGCCTAGTCCAAGCTCCTTCATGAAGGAGGACAGGGCTTTCACACACAAAACATGGAGGAACCACAACAAGGTGGGAGCTGTCGCAGGGCAGGCAGCCCCTGCACACCAGAACAATTTATTGCTTGTTGGGACACAGCAGCACAGCTGCGAGGGCAGCGCGGTTTGGCCAAACTCCAGCAGAGGTTGGGGTCTAGATCAATATGGGGATACAGAGTGGGGAAAAGGGACTGGGACCCAGTGCGCTGCTTCGGTCTCAGAGGACACTTGCAGGCACCGGGATGAGGGTGAGACAGCTTTGCCAGAGCACTGGAGGACTGCCAGGACACATCCTCATTGGCACAAGCAGGTCATCTCAGGCTTTGGGCTGCTCCTGCTCTGTGACAGAAGATGCTGGAGCTTGATGAGGGAGGAAATTTGAGGGGGAGCAACAACCCAGCACAAGCTATATGAGGTCCTGCTTCCAGCCTGGGAAAACCAAGCCTTGAGAAGGGGCCATCAGCACTGAGCCGGGGACGCCAGCCCCATCTTCTCCTCTCCCTCACTGCTCAGATTATCTCCTGAGGACTCCAGGACCGGCGGTGTCTGAGGCAACAGCTCTCCAGCCTGGCCACCTTCACCTGCGGAGACCAACAGCACCCAGGGCAGAAGCTGCTGAGTGCCCTCGGCAGCAGCGTGGGGAGCTCACACCTCCACAGCTGACGCTTTCCATCCTCTGCCTGCCATGTGTGGGAAAACAGGCCAGGCACTCCATGTCCTACCTGCATGTCTTTTTGTCAGAGCAGCCTCCTTGACCACACAGTAATTATCCAAGTTCTCATAGGGCTGGAGCTCTGGAGGGATGACAGAAACAGCCTGAGGGCCCAGGGGCCATGGAGAGGGACCAGGACAGATGATGGTGGGCAGCGGCCCTGGGGGCTGCAGGACACTGCTGGACACACAGCATCAGGGCAACAGGGCTGGGCAGAGGCACCGCCTCCCCCAGGCAGGGCAAGCATGAAGGGCAGCTCCCAACCATCACTGCCACAATGGGGAGGTGCTGGAAGAGGCAGCCAGAGGAGGTTCTCGGCTGGGGACGGCAGGGTTTGGGACCCACTC